CATCTTACACCTCCTTCGCTCACCACGCCACGACCCATTTCCATCGCCCCTCTTGCCAAATCTCCCGCGCGCACAACCCGACATGCAACCCTCGTCACTATCCAGCCTCGCTCTTTGGGTAGCTCGGAGGTGGCTAAGAAGTATGTAAAGGCCGATGAGCTGTGATGACACGGCCTTCGTACAGAGCTGGCGTGTCCCCCAACGCTCTCGAAACTCACATCTCATGTCAAGACCGGTAGCACGGTATGCCTTCCGTTCAGTCTCTTTTCAATCCGGAACTCTGTAAGTCCTGTGCCCGTCGTCTCCTAATGCCAGCTCCCGGTGCCGGTGCTGGTCAAATGACCCTTGAGTCCGAGTTCGCAATCCCAGTCGTTTCCCCTTTACTGACACCCCTACTATCGTCGTCTGACAGCGTCGTAGAGAATGACGGCGCCATTTTGTAGTCTCCCCGCTCTACACTGTTTTATTGCTTTATCGCAGTATAGAAATATATTTGATCTCCGCTCGAATTGCCTATGTGTGATTTTTTTTATGAGGGGCCTATCGTTTTGATAACAGCTGCAACGAAGGCAGCACATATGTAATACATACATCTGATTCATGAGCGGCGTTCTAAGGCGTCTCAGACGGTCTCTGGAAGCACGACACTCCGTGAGAACCCGCGACTTGAGCCAAATGCAAAAGATGGCCAGATGGTTGTTCTGTGCGCCTCTCGTTGTTGTCCCCTTCGGGGTGACATACGAAAAAATTGGAACGATACAGAGAAGATTAGCATGGCCCCTGCACAAGGATGACACGCTTTCCCGGAGTGGTAGATCTACGGATCTCAATATTTATGCTCTTTTTGCTGGCGCGGGCGGTTAATTAACGCGTCGCGACGCGTCGAAGCTGCGTGAGCGGGCCGTCGGTGTCATTCACGGTAACGTTAACGAGAAGTGGTCCGACATCCAGCTCCTGGCCATCGTGCGTCTTGCTTCATTACCACCACCGTCTGTTCTCCCCCGCAGGCCTGTGATTTTGTCTGGCCTGCCGCTTATAACCTGCTCGTCGCCTCGCCCGTACTTTGCTGTATAGCCTACCAGACCGGCGCTAGTCTGATGGCAGCCTACGCGCCCCTCGACCTCCCCGCTTCGGGCAAGCTCCCCTTCACCGACTACTCTCGCTGGCGGCTTCGCATCTCGGACGACGGCGACCACACCTGGCACTACCTCCACAACGAGGACGAGGCCGCTGACTGGGCGCAGACGGACTGCGACAAATACTGGCTGGGCATTCCGCTTGACCTGCCCGCGCTCCCTAAGCCTACGAACGCCCTCGAGGCCGCGCGGAATGGCTACCGCTTCTTCAAGCACCTGCAGACGGAGGATGGTCACTGGCCGGCAGAGGATGGCGGACCTATGTTCCTGATCCCAGGACTGGTCATTGGCTCGTATGTTACTGGTATGCCCTTCCAGCTGGAGGAGCGGCTGGAGATCATCCGTTACTTGTTCAACCATACGAACGAGGATGGTGGCTGGGGAATGTGAGTTCTTCATATTTTGAGTGTTCAGTCAAGGGGTTCCGGTCAGGAGATGCATGAGGCACTGGAGGGGTTGGTGGAGGGAGAGTGTTCCGTCTCTTCAACAAGTTGTTCTGCGGAACCTGTTTCATATACATGTTCGCACATCGTGGGGTACACAGTGAGGCCGTCGGAGACGAGCCAAAGGTGCCTTGCAAAGCGACAGGCGAGGTGTGCCTTGCACAGAGCGTCGGGCCTATGGGTGGAGTTGTCGAAGGTGTTAGAGGTGATCGTGTTGCTAATGCTAACGGGTTCGCAGCCACCTAGAGGGTCAAAGTACCGTGTTTGGTACTGCGCTCAACTACTGCGCCATGCGCGTCCTTGGCGTGAAGGCCGACCACCCCGTCTCGGTGAAAGCGCGTGGTTGCCTGCACAAGCTCGGAGGTGCGACAGGCGTGCCATCCTGGGGCAAGTTCTGGCTCTCTATCTTGAACGTGTACGACTGGGATGGCAACCACCCCATACCGTCAGAACTTTGGTGAGTCGTGGAGACAAGCTTACTTCGTGGGAGTTGCCAACGTATCGCAGGCTTCTGCCAGACTGGGTTCCTTTCCATCCGCACAAGTGGTGGATCCACACCCGGAACGTCTACATCCCGATGGGCTACCTGTACGGCATCCGCTACAAGATGGAGGAGAACGACCTCGTCCTTGCGCTTCGAGAGGTAAGCGCGCCCTCCTTCGTTCAGAAGGGTCCGCTCAACCTGCCCAGGAACTCTACACCCAAAACTACTACTCCATCGACTGGCCCGCACAACGCAGCTACGTCGCCGCCGTTGACCTCTACACCCCGCACTCGTCTATCCTTGAGTTACTCTACGGCGTGCTCGGCACGTACGAGCAGTGCGCCTTCCCTCCATTACGACGCGCCGCCATCCAGCGCTGCTACGAACTAGTCGTGATGGAGGACGACAACACGGACTATCAGACGCTCGGGCCCGTCTCGAAGATGATGAACCTCATCGTGCGCGCACACGTTGACGGGCGCGAGAGCGTCGCATACAAGCGGCACTTCGAGCGGCGGCAGGACTTCATGTGGCTCGCCCGCGAGGGCATGATGATGTGCGGCACGAACGGCTCGCAGCTGTGGGACATCGCGTTCGTCGCGCAGGCGATCGTCGAGGGCGGGATCGCGTGCGATGAAGAGTTCAAAGACAGCGTGCACGGGATTGTGCGCTGGCTGGATAACTGTCAAATCAAGGAGAACCCGAAACACTACGAGACCGCGTATAGGCACGCAACGAAGGGCGCGTGGCCGTTCAGCACGCGCACTCAGGGGTACACGGTCAGCGACTGCACGGGTGAGGGCCTCAAGGCCGTGATATACATCCAGGACCACGTTCCGTGAGTGGGGTTTTCTCCCTCCGTGCTTCTGCGATGACTGAATCTGCGTATTGTAGTGGCGCGCCGCAGCTTGTCTCCGAGAGGCGACTGTGCGACGCCGTCGACATCTTGCTTAGCATGCAGAACCCCAACGGCGGCTTCGCGAGCTATGAGCTTGTCCGCGCACCGCAGTGGCTGGAGTACCTGAACCCTGCCGAGGTCTTCGGTGCGTCATGGCCTACTGTGTATCCACTAGACGATACTAACGAGGGACATAGGCAACATCATGACCGAATACAACTACCCCGAGTGCACGACGTCTGTCATCACCGCACTGTCCATCTTCCGCAAGCACAACGCCGAGTATCGCGCACGCGACATCCAGTACGCTCTTTCCTCCTTTTTCCTGCTTGCATCGCTAACATCTTACCTATTGCGCAGACGAGTAATCACTAAGGCGGTCGACTATGTCCACAAGGCACAGCGGCCGGACGGGGCGTGGTTCGGCTCGTGGGGCGTGTGCTTCACGTACGCGACGCAGTTCGCGCTCGAGTCGCTCTCGCTCGTCGGCGAGACGTATGCAAACAGCGCCGCCGTGCGCCGTGCGTGCGACTTCATCGTCAGCAAGCAGCGCGCCGACGGTGGCTGGGGCGAGAGTTACAAGGTGCGTCGCCACGGCATCTTCCCCTCTTTGTATACACTAACGGTCATGAGTAGAGTTGCGAAATTGCGCAGTGGGTCGAGCACGAGAAGACACAAGCGGTGCAGACGTCGTGGGCGGTGATGGCGCTCATGTATGGAAAGTACCCGCGCGCGGAGCCGATCGAGCGCGGCGTGCAACTCGTCATGTCACGCCAGCAGCCGGTGAGCATCCTTCATCTGTGGCACGCGGCAAGGGGTGCTAAGTCATGCGGATCCTGCAGGACGGCTCGTGGCCGCAGGAGGCGGTCGAGGGCGTGTTCAACAAGAACGTAGCAATCTCGTACCCGAACTTTAAGTTCGACTTCACGATCTGGATGCTCGGGCGTGCACATCACTACCTCGCTGAGCTGCGCGGGGAGAAGGCGTGAGCGGGATTGTGCATGCAGGTGAGGGACTGGGGCAGTGCGAGTGTTGCTGATAGACTATACCTTGGTTGTAATGGAGCAGTGCTTATTGGTCGGTCGGAACTGCATCGCAGTCTGTTACGAAGGCTTCGCAGCACTCCCAGCCCTGAAGACGTGCATCTTACGATCGTGCGAGTTGGTCAGGTAGGGCTTCTCGCAGTCCGCAGATCGTCCACACGAACGCACTATGATGACGGTATGGTCACCGCCCGTCATATCACACCCCTCAGGTCCACCGAAAGCATCTTCCGTTCTGACAGGTTGGTTCCGTTCGCATGCCCTGGAACTGCAACACGGTACCCTTGCGGGGCCCGTTTCCCCGTAGGGCATCTCAAATCCTTTCCTGTGTGTGTTCCAGAAACTCCCGGCCACCAGGTGCAGTTCGAGGTCCGGATTCAGTCCCGTCGGATATTTATGCAGATCAGACTGCTTCTCTGCTCATTATGCGTCGGCGCGGAGATGGCTACACGCACACGCAGGACCGCAGGTTAAGTTCAGCCCACCACGTTCCTGCCGTCCCCTTAAAGGCCGCGAAGCGTCATCATTTGCTTCTGTCGTCTCTCTCCTCTCGCCGTTTGTTCAGACCGATGCCGCCAAGGAAGAAGACAAAGGAAGCGCATGCACCGCAGAAGCCCACCGTGCCAAAGCTACGAGGACGTCGGGGCAGTCTCGCGGCGATGCCCCGCGTCCCTCTCGACGTCATTATCGAGGTACGTCCGGTGTGATAGCCTGGGGTCTGATGATGGGCAGCGCGTTGACGCATGCCCGCCGGACAGATCCTCGGATACCTCCACCCGCGGGACATCCTCAGCCTCGCGCAGACATCCAAGGACTTTCGCGCGCTGCTGTTGAATCGACAGCATGCGTTCATATGGAAGGCTGCGCGGAAGGCGCTCCCGGGCGGGCTGCCAGATCCACACCCGTATATGAGCGAGCCCGCTCTCGCACAGCTCATGTTCTCTAGTCACTGCCACGTCAGTGCATTTCCCGCCTCAGCCCGCCGTGCGCGAGCTCACCGTGCTGCGATATCAGAACTGCGGTAAGGGCCGAGTGCGCAAGATCATCTGGCGCTGGTTCAAGAAGTATTGCTCCAAATGTCTACCCCTTATGTGAGTGTGCTGTACGTCTCGCCCCCCGTGCAGGGTTGACCGCTCTGACAGGGCGCTGGACGCATCCGCTGTTCGAATGCGGATGAATGCGATCGGGCTCTGGCGCGTTCCGGGCAGCGACTTCGGGGCTATCTTCGACTACAAGCGCTGTGATAAGTGCGTTGCTTCACCTTTCAAGCTCACGCATCGTCAGGCTCGTTGTGTTCATCCAAGTGCGCCTTTCTCGTACTAGGCCTCGATACACGACCTGGCAGAATGAATTCAACAGCTGCCACGCTCCTCAAGTGCAGCGTTTCGAGCAGGAATGGCATGATGCCGGCGACGATCTGGAGGCACTCACAAAGCTATACCGAGACCGTAAGGCGCACGTCGAAGGGGAGATCAAGGTAGTAACTTCTCATGGCACCTCCTGCGTAACCATGTTGACAACACATTGACAACGCACATAGTTCGCGGAACAGCTGGAAAACTACGCGGAGGAGGACCGGACGAGCCGATTAGCAAAGGTGCAGCAGGCGCGAAAAGATGCACTCCCTGAGTGAGTAACTATGAAACTTTATCCGAAAGTTCTCTTCGTTTAACTTGCCCCGACTCCCCCAATGCTGTAACACTGCTTAGCCTCCGCCGCCGCTTGAAGGAAGTGGGCTGGGGTGTCGAAGCCGAATACTATCCCGGGTTCATTCCCGGTGATATTTTCTACGGTCCAGGTCGCCATTTTTACACGCCATCAGGATCGTCGAAACTCACGGACAAAGGTGCGCATGTCGGCATGTGAACCTTGGACGGCGCATCACGACTCATCATTGGTTGGCCGTTGGCACAGAATGGCAAAAGGTGTACCGGTATCTAGCAGCCCGCTTGATCCCATTGCGATCCAGACGCATCGACACGTTATGGGAAAACACCTACGACAAAATCTATGCTGCGATCGTACTCCATTACACCAACCGACCTCTTGTCCACGCGGGCAAATCACGCTACACTCTAGAGCACCGGCCTACGGCGATGGACATTGCCTGGATGCAGGAGTGCGAGGAGCTGTTCATCGACTCGGGTATCCCTAACGAGAGTGCGTTACGCGCCCACCTCAATACCGTCGTCGCGCCTCGCGTACCACAGCTAGTCGCGCTCTGGGAAGAGCGCTTCAAGGCGAGACTGCGCGAGCTTGTATTGGCCGTCGTATCTCCGGCGGATGTCTCCAAGGACATCGATCCCCTCGACCTTGCTGTCGCCGTGTTCGGGTGTACGTATTGCGAGATATCATCGGACCCATACGCACAAGAGCCGACTGCGGTGCTGGGGCCGCCACTCGCTCTACGCTTCCCGGAAATCCTCGCTCACAAATGCTTTCACAAGTACAGTCGATGGTACTCGACGAGCGCGCCGCTCCCCACACAAGCAGCGTACCAACAGCACATACTCAAGAGGGAACGAGAGCGAGAGAAGCAAATGCCGTGGCGCCTTTTAACCGCGACTTGCCCTATAGATGCGGACCGCATATCCCTAGCGGGCGCCCGGAGGGCGTGTGCTGCCCTTCTGGGAGCCAATTGCGATCCGAGCCGCATCACGTTGCAGGAGATGGAGACATGGGATTCGGACGAAGGAATGTGGATTCCCCCAGCACACATGATTGTCAAAGCCGAGCCGACGACAGCAGACGTGCGTATCCTACTACGGTGCCGTATGCAAAGCTTTCCACCTAACTGGTTACATCCGTACAGCTTGTCTGGAATGACGGCAGGATCGCCGACGCCGGGGCTCAATCTACTGATAGTGGACTATGGGATGCGCTCTATAATGCCTGGTGGGTCTGAGTGTGGACGCTGATATCTTATGCAATGTAGGATATCTCAAGATTGAGCTGTGGATGTACGTTAGATGGTTGCAGTGCAATTTGCGATATGGGTCTCCCGCAGGGCTCTCTGGCTGCCGCGCGGCGAGGTTTCTTCTCCCGTACCGCAGGTCGTCCATATGAAAGCACCATGTTCACGGGGTGGTCACCGCCCGTCATAATGTGCCCTTCACGTCCCTTGTGCCCAGCTTCGAATCTGGCAAATTGGGATCGCTGTCAATTCTTGCGACCGCGGCACAACGCACTCATAGCTCCCCACACAAGGCAGCTCAGACAGACTTTTGTATGGCCACAATTCTAGAACGCTCCAGACCCAAGATGTTGACCCACTACTACCACGCACCTCAAGTAAAGACTTTCGAAAGACGGTGGCACGATGCTAGCGACGCACTCAATGCACACACCGCGTTGTACGAGGATAGAAAAGCGCGAGTTCCCGAGAGGTCCAGGTGAATTCTAGCCGGTTGATGAGTGAAACATTACCTTGACGTCTCGTCTCTTCCAGCTGTTATCAGAACGATAGGCCCCCTCCGAAAAAGTCGCAGAGAGCGGTCTGAGCGGAGTACCAAATGGATGACAAATCCGGTGGCGCGGCGCAGGGCAGACCGCGCGCCTGCAGCGCTCGCTCTTGCTGGTCAACCACTCGCTGCTCGTCGCTCACCGCTCACTAGTCACTGCTCACCGCTCGTCGCCCACCATACGATGTCATATACCCAGGCAAGTCCACAATATCGATCTCAACATGTCGCGTTGTGACTGTAAAGAGGCTATATGGCGATGTGGCGGCCGCCCATCTTACACCTCCTTCGCTCACCACGCCACGACCCATTTCCATCGCCCCTCTTGCCAAATCTCCCGCGCGCACAAC